TGTACATTTTTTCTTCTTTTCTTTTGTTAGTGTGCATCCTGCTATATTTCGAAATAGAGTAACTCTGACGTTGTGAAGGTGAGCTTATCGAAATGCATCTTGTTCAACTTCTTAGACAAGAAAGCCAGCAAAATGGAAACAGTCATAGTCAACAAATTTGACCGATTTTAGAAGCACTCTGAACTTGCGAGACTAGTATGTCATGCTGCAGAGAGTGAAAGCTTCTATTATTCTTTTTTTACGCTACGCTATGAATCTCGATTCCCTTCCAACGTCATAAATTGTTTATAAAATTCTTAGTAATATCTAATAATTTGATTGAATAGAATGTATATTTAATTTTAGACTCTAACTATCACAACCTTGCTACTAATAAGTGAAACTAGACAATTGAAGCTTCATTCAATGTTGAGAAGCTCAATATTTTGACTTACATTTCTGAAAGTACAACAGAATTCCTTATTGGAAATCAAGCTTTGCATTCTGACCGATATCGATGCACTTGTGGAATCAATATTAGTAACTAACAGCTGGAATGTCTGTTTCAGAATCTCAAAATTTAAATACACTCAACACCAGTGATTTTTCAAATTGATCGGAAAGGTCATGAATTTCGTCCGAGACAGATCTGACGACATAAGTATCCATTCATCACTGATAAAAACAAGCAATGAGTTCTCTTTCTGTGCCATCTATTGTTTCTACTTTCATGCTAAATAAATGCAAAAATTAGGTACTTGACTGTATAAAGAAAAGAATGTCACAATTGTTTATAATTAAAAGTGTGTCAAATATAATTATAATTAATAGCTTGATGTCTTATGCGGTGGTGTTTTTGCATCTTTCAAAATCATACAAACTTTTGTTGTTCAGTTTTTCAAAAAAGACTTTCCGAATTTTGAAGTTGTTGTTTTTATACCCTATAATTATTGATACAGGAACTTAGGTAAAAGTGGCAGAAAGAAGAAAGATTTTTAAAATGGAGGATAAAAAGGCGGCATAAAGGGGTTATTGAAACCATCGTTAAACGGTTGATTTCCAACAAATGGATTGTTCGCAAAAGGGAAATTCATCATTGGGTTTGGAAATGCTGGTGCACCCATTTGAAACGGTGGTACCATATTTCCCATTGCTCCGAAGTTAGGTCCAGGTTGAAAGCCAAACGACGGACCATACATCGAAGGAAGAAGAAATGAACGTTGTTGTTCAGCAAGAAATGGACTTTCGCGTGAATGGCGTCGTTGATGGTGTTCGTCTCTCGAGGGATGTCTATGGAGATGATGCAAATTGATATCACTTCCATGAGAATGGTGTCGATTGTCTCGTGTGGGACTTGGAGACGATTGTCGAACGTTATGATTGTGTAAAAGGTTGTGATAATGATGAGGCGACTGTTGACGCTCGCCTCTTGAGTTTAATTGCCCAAATAAGTCAGCTGAGTGTCTTCGTGGTGTTCTGGCAGGATCATAATTGAAATCATCATCATTATTATTCATTTCTGGTCCATTTTGTGTAGTGTACACAATATCCCAATCTTGTTTATCATCTATTGGTTCTGCTGCCATTCGTTGTTGTGATGCTGCACGCGATATTGACCGAAATGGTGAGTGTATCCATGCCGCTCGTGCCTGATGAACATCTAGACGAATCATATTTGTTATAGATTTAACTGTCCATAATTCTTTTGTCAATTCTTTATCAGTAACATATTCATACGGTAAGAAACCGTACCCATCAGCGCCCCATTGTTTTCCATGTGAATTTCGAATTATAAATACTTTTTGTTCATCAATATAACCAACACAAACAACAGCATGACGATAAATGGACATTTTCTCATTTGCTTTTGGCATTGGGACAAAACCATGATGATCGGCAGCAAAAGAGCTAAATATTTTAATTGCCATTACAAATGGATAACCTAACCACAAAAAGATATTTATCTTTTATACTGATAAGAAAGTGTGAATGAAAGAATTGTACGAACCTCCAGCTAGACATTCTTTTAAATCGATAATATCGTTTGATAATTTTGAATACTCTTGTACAAGATATCGTTTGGCATGTTGATATGCTTGGTCAGATGGTTTTTTATTGACTAAAATAGTTTCGTATGGCCACAACTGTTCATCACAACATCCATACTGAATGAGACCGGCGATGCCATATTGAATATCGGCACCTGAATCAGATTCTGTTGCATGACGAAACGTGTCTGGACTAGAAAGTTCATCTTCTAAACGTCGTGCATTATAGTAGATAAACAATCGACTAAAGTCTTTAAGGTGATTATGAGTTCGTAAGTAAAAATACTCGTATATAGCTGCTAATGCATTTCCAACGCATGAACCGATTGCTCGTTGTTGCTCAATTGGACTTAACATTGGTCGTAAATCGACGCCAGATGGTAGCTGATTTCGATTGATTTGTGAAGAGAATTGTGTTATAGCTAATGGCTTGCGTTTGGAAAGACGACAACCGTCTAATCGATAAGATTGTCGTGTACGACGATTGAATAATAAGCCGAACTTCATCGTGCGTTATCAGAAAAATGTTACTGGTTTCAGTTTACAAGATTTACCGAACTTTTTTAATATCAGTTTATTTATAAATGCGTACAGGTTTGATGATTTATCATCTGTAGCGCTACGTGAACTAATATGGTTAGTAATCAGTTACCTGTATGACGCCTTCGAGGACGATATAATTGTGTTTTGACTGAATGATTCATTAACTTTCAAATAAATAGCACGATATAGGATCAAATTGTAGGGTGTTTCTACACAGGTCTGCTTCTTTATATTGAACTAAAAGCTGGGAAGATGTGACTATGCTC